TGTATCACTATGACTTAAGAATTTCCCACGGTACTTTTTTTTGTTATTTATTACCTTGATAGGTTCAGTGCTTGTTTTCTTCCTTGTTCCTGACTGTTTGGAACCCACTCAAGGTCTTTTGACATCACCTTTATGTAGGATGCTAAAAGTAATGAAATGACAGTGGATTCATTTTTCTTTTGAAGGATAAATATTTTGACTCTTTCTTAAGGTGAGGCTGCTCTGCTTCTGTGAAAATGAAAGTGGGTGCAGCTCATTCAGGAGTTTTCATCCCATCAAAACATACACTTTAATCAGCATTGTGAACCCAGGGCAGGGCTGAGGGCAGCTTACATGACAGAATTGGGACCACTTTTTTCCTTTTCGTTTCTCTCATGCATCTCGCTGTGTGCTATTCATACACTCCTCATTCTCTGCATCACTGTAAGGTATGTTTTTCTAAGTTCTCAGCTATAAAACTTCAACAGTTGTCAAGTGGCATTGTCAGCTCCTTAGTTAGCCTTGCATTGTTGTATGTCATCTCCACTCACCAGTGTGGATGCACAAGATAGAATTATTCCTGAAAAAAAATGTTAATTGGCTAAATATACAAAACTTGTCTAGAAATCCTAGAAATTTATCTTTAAAATTCAAGGAGGTAAAAACGAAATTCTTTTATTGAAATATCTAAAGTCTGTGAGTTATACCAGTGGAAAAGTGAAAATAAAAAATGTTTTCAGGGGAATATTTAGACATTTTCTTTCTTTTTTTTTTCAATTCTGTGTTAAAAAATAGTTTCAGATATAAGCATAACTAAGGGAGCTCTGATGGCCCAGTCTATAGGAAGCAGTACCATTGACCCAGAGATATTCTTGGGCTGATTCATGCTTAGTTCCAGCAACAGCTCTGGGGGAGAAAGAGGAGCAGGCTCCTCCTTTGAGATTTACAGCCTCGGAAACTCAACAGAGGGTCAGCTATGAGTCAGTTCCAATTCAATGGCAATGAGTAGTTGTAAGAATTACTAATGTCAAGCTAGAAAAATATTTTTACTATTTTGAAGTAACTTAATCTCTAATAATTGATAGGCATGAAACACTATTTCTCACAAAAATAATTTTCAATTCTTCAGTTAATGAAAGTTTGAAAACTCTTTGTTTTGAAAGCGTGGATTAGCAATCTGTGTACTTGTAGCTTTTCTAAAACCACAGTCCTTTCAGGGGAAGTGACTCACATGAACACTTTTCCTAAATGTAACTTGGGATCCCTTTCTCGTTCCATACATTTCTCTACCATGTGAGAGTCCTGTTCATTTTCATTAGAATCTTTTTAACTAGAAAATTTAGAACTAGAGAAAGTTCCATGGAAATGAGCTACCATTAGACCAACTGAACCTTGCATTATTCACTTATTTAATATTTCTTTTGCATGAGGTGCTTGCTGCATGCTAGATCTTTTCTTCATGCTTTGAGGAACTGCCACCAGCTTAATGATATGCAAAACTTTTGATAGTAGTACAGTCAGTTTTTACCTCAAGGATTCATACTAGCTTTAAAATTCCCGAGAGAAGAGCAAATTCTTGAAACTTGTGTGTAAAACTTTGATAAAACTTTAAAGAATAATGTTTTAAAAAATTCCTTTAGTGTATTTATTTAATTGCTTATATGGGCTTGCTTTCTATAATTATAGACAATTGGAACTGAGTAAGAACCCTTTTAGTCAGCTATTGGGGAGAAAACTGACGATAATTTTTCTTTTATGCATGATTAAGTATACCGTGAGTTAAGAGTTAACTCTTGGTTAAGAGTTAATCAAGATATATGCTGGTTAGGGAGAGACTTACTGGGCCTTTAATGCTATACTCAACAAACTCAACTCACTGCTGTCATCAGAACTGACTCATAAATGACTAGCCAGGGGTTTTCAGAGTTTGTCGATCACATGATGATGAGATGGCCATGTTTCTCCTGAGTAGTGGCTGGTGGATTCAAACCACCTGCTTTCAGGTTGGTGACGCTATTCCTTAACCACTAGGCAACCACACCACATCCTGGGGTCCACCCTGTTGCTATTCTTAGTGGAATTGGGGTTCACAGTTTTTCTAGTTTAGAAATAGAGGATGTTTTGCCCACATTTTCTAGAGGGAAGCAAATCCAAACAAGCTATACCTTCCAATTTAGTATTGACATATTAGCCACTGTTTGAGGTAAGGTGAGATCCATTCATATTCTGAAGGTTTAAAAGTCAGGAAGCTCTGTTACTGGGGTGAGATGATTTGCACCACTCTTAGAGCTAGGGATTTTGAATATTTGTTCATGTGTTTGTTCACTATCTGAACGTCTTCTTTGGTGAAGAGTCTGTTCAAATCGTGCTCATGGGGGGGGAGGGTGAAGCTCCTCAGTATTTTTGAGAGGCAAAGAATAATTGTAGAGATAAAGTGTTTAATTTTGTTTTTAAGAAAATAATAACTGAGATTTCTCTTCCTAATTTCCAAATATGTTTTTGCTAATCAGGATCGAAGTGAAAGCCCAGGGCTTTGCCAGTGTCAGATACTGAAGTTACTTTGGTCAAGGGTACTTACAAATGTATTTTAAAATGTCATTACTTTCTTTGAAGGAAGGAAAAAAAATGTAGGTCCAGGAGCCAGTGGGAAATCAGCCAGTATTGGGTTTGTTATTTTTCCAAACTGGCTGTCCTCTTCAACTTACTGAAAATAAGGAAAAGAAATTGCATAGATGTTCCTCAAAAGCACAGAAGGAAGTATAGAGGGACAAAGCAGAAAAATGTCTTAAAAATATATATATATATATGTGTGTGTGTGTGTGTGTGTGTATTCTTCTATCTTCCCACCTTATTGCTATTACAATAAAAATATTCCTAATAGAAACACTTTTGCTATGAAGAGCCAAAGATTCTTTTTCTGCTTTTGTACTTCATAGCTGATCCTCCTGCAGGTTTTCAGCAACTGTACGTCGCACAAGAGGAGATTGCCCATCTTTCTCCTACAAAACAGCCAGTGGATTTGATGCATGCGCTCACAGCTCCTTACCTCTAGGCTACCAGAACTGCTGTCAAGTTAGGTCCGACTCTCAGAGACCCCGTGTACAATAGGGCGGAATCCCAGTCTAGCCCTGTGCCGTCCTATTAAACAGCTGCTGTGCGTGAGCCCTTGGTCGCAGCCCCTGTGCCAGTCCTTCTCTGCCTTTTTTGTCCCCCCTTTTGTTGAATGGCTGATTTCACAGTCAATGAAGACAATTTCCTGAACTCTTTCTTTATAAAGATAACTTCTGTGGGAAAGCAAACACTTGAATATTGGCACATTTAGTAGGTCCACAGAACTGTGTGGCCACTGTGGTGAGGCCTAGGTGAAACTTGCCATCCACTGTAACACTTTTGGGGTGCCCTGTTCCTGGCCTATATTGTTTCTCATTTTCTATCCCTGCCTGATACAGCCTGTCAACACCCTATAAGGACAGAAGAGAAAATTCTTTGGTCTCCATATCAGAAATATGGTGGAGCTCTCTAAAGAAACTCACCTCCCACACTCTATGAAGTAAGTGGTCGTTAACTCCAGAGAACCAGGATCAGATCCTCTGATGATCTCTTTGGACTGTGTGCTTCTTTCTTCACTTACTTAGCATTCAGCCCTGCAAAGTCAAATGCACCGGTTTCCAAAATAATGGACTTTCGTTGTTGGGAGCGCACACACCAGCTAAGGATCTTTCAACCAAGCCTCCTCTTTTTGTGTGCTGGTTTTCTTGGTGAAATTAGGGATTTTCCCAGGAACCCAAATGATTTTGATCCAGCCTAACATTTCAGCACAGGATCAGACAGGGATTCATCATGTATACAGGATGACTCGATGGCACATAACAGCAACGACATTTCAGCACCTTCTTCGTAACGCTGTGTGGCGTGTGTGTATGTGTATAAACGATTCCTGATCTATTCCATTTCTTGCAGTGTGTGCGTCCCAGCTGACGATGCCCCAATAGGCCTTGAGCATGGTGCCGCTTCCCTACACATAATGAATATTCAGAAGCTGCAGTCAATGAGGACTCAGGTGGCAAAACTAGTAAAGTGATTGAGGCAAGTCTGATCATAAAAGGCAAATCTTCATTTTTTTTTCCAACTCAGAAACCCTTATTACTGCACACATTCCCCATCCTCTGACCCTTGAACCTTAGAGAAGAATCCTGGGAACTGCCTATAAATTAGACATCTGTTCCATACGCCAACATGATAACATCGTTCTATATGATGTGTTGTAATAAGCATGTTGTTTTAAAAACACAGCAGTTCTTTCTGTATTCCTCGCCCACAGAATGCACTTCAGCATAAAGGACACACTGTTGAGACAGCCAATGCATGCATTGTCTTCCCCATAATGCAGTCAGGAGCTCCCTAGGAAAATGCAGTGTATTTCACGTAATCTTATTTTTTATTTGTCACCATCAGCAGTTAAACTAAAGTAGGAGCGGCTCCATTCTAGCACGGGTTAAATTATGCTCCGTGCGGATCTAGTGGTGATGTATAAATTGCAGCCCTTTCTTTTTTTTGAAGGATTCTAAAATAGATTTTCAGAATTAGGGCTGGATTTTTGCTCCTGCATGTGTGGTGACTCTTGATTTTTTTTCCTTCAGAGAAGCATCCTTTGCAGCATTCCCCCTTCCGAGGAATCACTTAGGCACTTCCAGCTGGTAGCAGGGGATCCAGCCAGAATACTGCTCCCCTCTGTCCCAGCAGCCTTTTTTTCCCCTTCACTACGGTAAATGCATTACGATGGCTGCACCCTCTGGTAAAGGTACAGGGAGAGGAAGGTGTAGGATGAAGTCTGGAAACTGTCCTCTTGGTTTTTAAAAGCTTCAGCTTCTCCAGCATCTTTGCATTCTGAATGCCTTCCTGCTTCTAGTCCAAGGTTTTCTGCCAGTGATTGGAATGCTGTTCGAAGCCTGATTAAAGGTGCCTGAGGATATCACCTTCTACAAGGAAGCCGGGCTGGAGAGGATCTTGCTTAATGCATTATGGCTCATGCAGCCTCTCAATTAAAGAAAAACAGGGATTTAGAAATCAATGCTGAAGAAGAGACTGAGAAAAAAAGGAAACATCGCAAACGGTCCCGGGATCGGAAGAAAAAGGTATCTGTGTCTGCCAGAGCATATATATCATGCCTGGCTTCTTTTTGTTTTCAGTCTCCTGCTGGCATCTGTTAGAAGCATTAGGGGCTGTTTTTACATGCTAGGGAGAATGCAAATTGAGTGTATCAATTGAGAACAGATGAGAAGACCCTGTGGTAGACCACAGGCGTCAGGTTGGGGAGGAGAGGGGGTGATCCTGTGTGGGGGTGACTGCAGTTCTCCTGCGGAAGGTGCGTTTTTGCTTTCTATGGGCACGGTCCTGTGTCCATGACAGAAATGTGGTACAGGGAGTCAAAAGTAGTTTCTGCACCAACCGGTCAAGGTGACAGGAATTGCGGGGACTGAGGTCTGCAGGAGCGTCAGCCTTTGTACTTCTTGGAGGTCTGTCTCCTGGAGAAGGAGCTTTTGTGTTAGAACTGTGTCACATGTGTGCATTTCTCACGCAGAGCTGTGACCTTAAAGACGTAGCAGAAAAGTCATTTCCTGCTTTGCTTTATTTTTTTCTCTTTCCTTTTGCCTGAGAGTTGTGTAAGGTTCGGCCAGAAACAACTTGCCTTTGTTAATAAAGCTCAAATCCGAGAGGTTTTTGTTTTTTCCTCTGCTGAGCAAGCCAGGTTATCCTGAATGCAGGAATCCCCAGGGCGTTCGGGGACCTGCAACCTTCAGCACTCACTGCTTTAGATCCCAGAATGACCATTGATGATTGACTCCTCATAGTCCAACATAGAGGGGAAATGGGAATATTCTAGGTCAGTGGTGTTTCGTTACAGCCAGAGATCACTTACTAAGTGTTTGGTGGTTGTGCCCTTAAAGCATGACTCCTGGGGACAGACAGGAGCAAGGCCCCAAAGCACCTTTCCTACATGTAGACAATGAGTCAAAATTGACTAAAGCCTGTGATCTGAATAAAGAGACAAGCCATCAAGCATTTGGATGTGACTTTGAGATTATTCCCATGGGGGTGATCTTCTCTGAACTCACCCTGAGGTCTGAGGCAAGCGGTCATGAAATGGCATGCAGATTTGCGGATTGTGTCCACCACAGCGCCTCTCCTCAGGGAGTGACCACCAGTAGTTCCAGAACCTGTGCCGTCTTCTTCCAGTTGAGGGTCTCCAGAAGCAGCCTCCTCCTCTGCCTGTCATTCTGCTGCTCACTCTATGAGGCTGGATTCAGAGGACTGCAGCTGTTTTGCTGCAAGATGTTATATATAGACATTTCTCACTTTCTTGTCTGTGGAAATAAACTTCTTGAATATATTTTCACAGAAGTGCAAACTTAGGTTAAGGTAGTCGGTGCCAGATCTATTTCAATGCCTTGCACCCCAGTTATTGTGCAATTGCTATCTTTTGCTACATTCAGGTCGAATGTTACTGCCTTAGCTTTGTGGATATGTTACTGTCACTTGCCCCCTTTCCACCTATCATCCACCCCTATCATCACCATCATCATCGTCAATTGACTTCTGAGATGACAGGGGGAAAGGTATATATATGTACATGTACTTCTACAAAGATCTGATGCTATTATTTATTCCAACAATTTATATAAAGAAGTGGTAGCCAGTGCAGTCTTGTGTGGAGTGTTTCCTGCAGCAGATGGACCTGCTGCCTTTGTGCTTGGGCTCCTATTTGACTTGGAAGCACAACAAGGAAAGAGTGAGGCAAAAGGAGTTTCTGGACTTACTGCTCTGAAGCCACAGTTCTGTGGACTAAAATGCTTTGTTATGAATACAGCAGAGTCTCTCCAATGTAAATCTCTTAGCAACCAGGAAGGAACATGGAGAAATATCAATATCACTATTGTAAATGTGCAAGCAGATTTAAATGTTTTGTTGTCAGGACACTCACAGAGGAGATCTAAAAAGTGGCTCAGAGCTAATGCTTTCAAAGCTATTGTACTTGTTAATAGATAGCATGGTGTGACATGTATGCTCCCTCTCCGAAACAGTATTATTATGGAAGTTATGGCATTCATGGTCACATTACTTAATGGAGTCCTTTTAATGTGCAAAGTGAAGAGTAAATTTATTTGCAAATACAGACCAGGTTCCTTTCATTGGGAGATTATCTATAACATTGATTCCCTAACAAGTTAATTGCTTAGACTTTGAATCTCCTTTTCCTGTATTTTCCCGAGATTCTCATTAAGGTTTGTGTGCTACTTTGCTCTGTATGGTCAGCCCCAGGTCAATTGAAAAGTCAGCTTTTAAATACTGTGTGGGTTATTATGGGGATAGTTGCTACTGCTCATATGAAGAAATATTCTTTATGAGCTTTTAATTACATAATAGCAGTAGTTCATACTCTAATAAAACTATGACAAGTTAGAGAGGTTTAAGAAACTCTTACAGAGTAATAGGGAGCTCTGGTTATTATTTGGAGAAGGATATCATGCTTGGTAAGGCGAGGGATGCCAAAGGAGAGGAATACCCTTAAGCAGGTGACTGCAGCAATAGGCTTGAGTATGTCACGTTGTAGGATGGCACAGGATACGACACGCTTCCGATTGATTGTTCATAGGGCCACTGTGTGTCATACTAGACTTGACAGCACCTAACAACAATAACAACAAGGTGGCCTAGTGATAAAACACTGTGCTGCAATCCCCAAGGCACATGGTTCAAATTCCCCAGCAGAGGAATGATGGGCAATCTCTTCCCAGGTGATTTAGTGCTTCTAAAAACCCGCTGGAAGGTCATCTGTAAGTTTGTCCAGACTCAACAGCACACAAAAAATTTTGTGAAATAAGAAATTTGGTTTGTGAAAACCCTTACAATTCAGGGGTGAGCCAGCCCAAGAAGAGGTATGCAATATGATCCAGTAACATATGATGTGGAATATGATACTCATATGTAGTATAATAAAATCATAATACATATATAGATATAATATTGGTTCTCATTGAATAATGAGCATTGAGTTCACATCTCATAGGTTTTTAAAGACCCTCTATGAGGTGGATTGGTTCAGTGACTGAGGTAATCGGGATGGGTGTGCCAGAGGCAACGTGATTGGCACAGGATAGAGCAGGGTTTAGGGCTGTTGTACATAGGGTCACTATGACTCGCAAACAGCACATAACAACAACAACATTGAGTTATATATACATTAGGTCTATTATGAATATTGATAACCATGAATGAAAGTCATAACCAGCCTCCCCACTCCTACAGATACACAAAAGTGGGGAACTTCTAGATAATAAACTGATCCTTAATTATGGTATGCTTTCTTCTTGGCACAGAAACATATATAATATCAAGAAAAAGGAAACCTTTCTATTTGTTTGAAGGAAATATATTTGAGTAGGTGACCCTTAATTTTATTATCATCATCAACTTTTCTGACCTTAAGCAAAAAAATATTCTGAAAAAAAATATTCTTAGATGGATTTAGTTTAGATTTTGCTTAAGAGTATAGTTACAAATATCCCTTACCTATACTTTGCCATAACTCTTCTAATATATTTTTCCCTTTCACACTCCCTCTCTCCTGATGAGCTGCTTGGGTTTTTATCCAATGAAAGGTAAAGCCAAAGATGCCTTTGGGTAGATTCATTTTGGATCCCTGACTAAGTAACTTGAGGAGAGGAACTCTTGATGTTACCTGCAACCAGCAGAGTCTTCTGTTCACAGGTGTTATTCAGTGGATAAACATGAGCCCACTAGGGTTAGTAGTCACAGATACACTTGTTGGGGAGTGAGCTCCAGTTCACCAACCTCTCTGTTGCCAGTGGTACCAATACTATGCTAATTGCATGTTTCGCCTTGTCCCCATGAAAGAATAAAATACATCTTCAGTAGTGAGAGGAGATAATTTACATTAATTTATTCAATAAATCTGCTTTATTTAAAATGTATGCTTACCTATGTATTTACTATATCCTGACAAAAATAATGTGAGGTACCTTGAGGAATTATTGTAAAAAGGAACATTTATCATGTACTCCTCTATGCCTATCAGTCCTAGATACTAGGATGTTGTTGTCCTTGATTGCCTTTGAGTTGAGCACGACTCATAGCGGCCCTATGAACAAAAGGCCTGAAAGCCTTTCTATAACTATTGTCATTTATCAAAGTTCATAGAGTTTCCAGAGGCAGGTTGTTTAGGAAGTGGGTGCTGGATAGCATGGCAATTTATCACATGATTATTAGAATTCTGATTGTTGATGTCAAACTCATACTGTTAATCAGTGGCAGAAGAAGAATGAATATTCATTGATTCATTCTTGTATTCATATATTCATTCGATACACATTTATCAGGGGATTTCTGTGGAGTAGGCATTGCATTAAGCTTTGGAGATGAAGCTATACAATATATGGTGTCAATAGTAAAGTAGAGCCCAGCAGAGCTAGGGAGAATGACCAGAGCAGCCATCGGATTCTCTGTGTATGAAAGAGGACCCGTTGTCATGTATGTAAAGACCCTCATTTTAACCCAGGTGAGCTCAGAGAAACTGAGTCTTGGAGAAGTTAGTGAGATAGTCAGTGAAACAGAAGAGAAGCCTATGCCCAAAGTGATGGAATTGGAAAGCATGTTGAGAGGAGGGACACAGAAATTTAGAATATCTGGTGTAAAGAGATATGAGTGTGTAATAGGAATGAAAAAACTCTAGGAATGTAGGCAGGTCCAGAGCTTGAAGACCTTGTATGCCATCATACAGGGTTTGGAAATTATCCTGACCAAAAGTGGGAGGGAGGGAGACTATGAACAGCTTTATGATTTAGAACAATCACTAGCATCAGTGTTGTAGGCAGCAGCAGGGGGAGCAGGTAGGAAGCACTGATGGTGATCCAAATATGAGACGCTGTGAGTTAGAACCAGGCCAGAGACGATGGCAGTGGTGAGAGCGGATGATGCAGATAAGAGATATTTAGGGGAAGACTCAATAAAACTTGGCAATGGATTGTATGTAGGAAGTGAGAAAGATCGAATTTAGGGTAACTGCCAAGTCCCTGGCTTGAAGGAGAAGATCAAGAATTAAATTCCCGGATTTATA